TCCTAAGACATATGTCTGATCTTCTTTAACCAGCCATAATTCAGTCGCTAACTGCCTAATATTGTAAGATTTATTTCATATTATTTATTTTTAATGTCATAAATTGACACAAAACACATGCAAGCCTGCATTTTTCAATTAATAAAAAGTAATTTCTCAGATATTTGTAAAAGATTTGTACAACTAATTAATGTTTGTATGTAATAAATCTTAATATCAACATTTTCCAGAATCTGCCAAATTTATGAAATTCTATTGGCTGGAACAAACCTGCCAGATTATGCTAATTAGATCTGTACATAAACAAAGACAAATTACTGCAATAAAATGAAATGCAACTCTGGGATTTGGATTTTTTTTCTATTAATGGAATAAATGTAAAATTTTTGGCAATTGCTGAATGTCTTAATTGTTTGATTTTGAATTTCAAAGGCAAAATAACTCCAACTTTAAGGACAGGAAATAACTCCATAAAATGAAGATCTGAAGCCCCTTCAACAGAGGAATTGTAGCTTTCAAATTCTTGTTGTCTAGTTCCGTCATGACATAACCACCAAGGAAGTGTGGGCTTGCATGGCTGCAACAGTAACAAGATAGAGGACAGAGGAAACGTGAGCTTGTGACAGAGAAGGAAAAGATGGGTGGACTTTGTCTTGACAGTCATGCCAACCTTACTCAAACATCTAGGTTAGAGTTTATGCGCACCTGGCCAGTTGCAATCTCAAAACCTTAAAATTGGTTAACCTTGTTTGTTATATGAATATCTGATCCTTATTTATTTCACAAAGCAAAAAAGGAAAGGTTTTCACATTTTCTTGCAAAACATACTTATGATGACTTCTTGGAAGTCATTACAACAATTCTGTCTGACACATGGCACAACATTAAGTGTGCAAAACACAACCTCTAACCTGATTCCAAATCAAAATATATTTTCCATCTCATGTCTATTAATTTTCATGTATTTTCCTTCTTGTTACAGCAGCTTCCTGTCAAATTCTATCACAGTTCCTGTTAACAGTCTGAAGCTGTACATGCCTCACATTTAGCAGTAAGTAAATTTGACAGTCCTAATAAGGCTTTTAACGTGCAAAAATGTCATCGTTTTTTAAGTTCTGGGAGCTCAGGAAGTCAGGAGTGAGAATTTTTTGGCTGAAGCAAGGGTCAGCCAATTTTCATCATATCCTCTCTAATTCACCCATTCAACCTGGCCATCTGTTTAAAAAAAAACACTCCTAACACACATGCAAGCTCAGGCAACTTGACACCCTTTTTCAAACAGGGCTTCAGTCCACCTGACTTTCCTGTGTACAAGTCCCATCTGCTGTCCTAACTGTGGGAGAACACATTTACTTACAAGGGTTCAAATATAAAGATGAAATTATGACTCATCATAGATCAGACCTTGTTTTAGTCTGAACAGGGCTAGGTCTATGTGAGCACGCATTTGTGTTATGTCTATGGATCTGCCTCTGTGTGTCTGTGTGTGTATGTGTGTGTGTGTGTGTTTGCCTCTTTGCCATATGTGCCCTGTGCTGATTTACAGCACCAGGGGCCAGTGCACACAAACAAGGCCTCATCTTCATCTGCCACACACATTGAAGAGCCGACCGCCAACTTTTTCTGCTCGTGTGTGTATCTGTGTGTGTGTGGACTTGACAAGTGTGTGTTTGTTCGTTTTCCTCTACACACACACACAGCTCTCAAAGTGCCCCCATGCAAGAAAATACAGTGCAGTACCATCCACTGAAATAATTATCCAATAAAATTACTATTTGTCAACTAGAAAACTATTTTCACTCCTCTCCTTTATTAATTTTTTTTTCTTCACAACATTGGAAAATACTTTTAAAAACACTAAATTCCACTTTCAGCCTTGATCTAATCTTTAAATCGTGCTTTGTAGAGATCACTTTAAAATTTCTCTAAGTCACAGATTCAAATTGCTAGGGTTTCCAGTAGAAACAAACATATTAAACAATAAATTCAGTCAGTTTACAGGGTCAGCATCTAACATAACTTTACATTGGCATTTAGCAATTACCATAGTAAACGGAAAGGTTTATATTACGCTTTATACAAATCAGCGCAACACAAATTTTTTTTAGGTCTATTTCACTGCTTGTTTTTTTATTTCTCGTATATTTGTATGTATGCGTCTGCACTCTCATAAACCGTACTCAGTCTGTTCTGGTCGACGCCCACTCTGTCTCTTCTCCTCTTTACCGCCCACAGCTCCAAAGTACGCTTTTTTCTGCATAACGTGCAGAGCTGTCAGCTTGACAATTCAAAAAGTCAAATCAATACAGAAGGAAGCCTCAAAAATTTTTGCTGACTCTTGTCATGCATTACCTCCTGGTTTAGCGTTTCTGAATCAGGAGCTGATTCACAGAAACAGTCAGCAAGCTCATTTTGAACGATCACAAATGTTTGAGTTGTGTGGCAGGCAGCAGTGTGACCTGTAGGACCATTAGGCATTTCTACAAAATAAAAATTTTACATTACATTTGCCTTGATGTAGCAAACAGGATTTCTCTTTTAAGTACATGGTGTTGAGTTAAAACTAAGTCATTGTCATGTGATAGGTCAGTTGCACAATTCAGCTCCGAAGGAACTATTAATGCTGAAAAGCACAAACAGGTCAACATATATTCTGTTCATGGCTTTTCTAATAAACTTCAATTTTGCCTTTTTCTTTCATTTTTAATGCAACTTTATTGTCAAATATTGTTTTTAGCAAATTTGCACAGTTTGCACTTTAAGGAATGAGAAAAGTATCCGTACTTTTTCCATCTATTCATTTGCTGCTAATTCATTTTTGATGAAAGGTCTAGTCAGACCACATTTTGCAAGAAAATCAACAACATTCTTTTGAATCAACATGATCATGTTAGCTAAACGTTGACCATGTTCATATAAAATAAATTTCAAATGCCACACAAACACACTTAGGACTCACTTTTAAACTAACTGAAATCTATGTAAAAAGTAACTAAAATTGACCCAGAGTAATATTGATTTTTTTCATTAAAGATCAAGTGAGTTTCTAAATTTAATTTTAAGAAATACCGTATTTATTCGTGTATATTTTTATCATAAAAAGCATAAAAAATATAATTCTCATACTACCTCTAATTTCATATGGACTTCAGGATTTTTCAGCCTTTACAGTCTTTATATAGATATCAGTAAAATTATCATTTGACTGTTGTATCAGTTTTTAATTTTATTTTAACAACATATGTACTAAAAAGGTACACAACAACAAATGTATAACTACAACAAAAACTATCAAATGTTTTATTTGGTGTGATATAACAAACAGATAGAGCTATGTGGCTCTAACAAGTGTGGATGAAGCTGAATCAAAGCCTTCAAAATCAGGCTCACCATCATCAGTATCATTAAAAGTTTCTGGTATTCCTCCTCTGTAATAAAGGCATCAGAATCCCACTCAACAATCTCTCTCCTCAGTGTCTCACAAGCGCCCCCTCTGGTGGGGAAACTTTTTTCAGGTAGACCAACTTTTACAGAACACCGGTAGACGGCAGCCATTACAGCCGATCATGTCAGGGGTAGACATAACCATTGTTTAGGTTGTCCGAGACAACCTATTTTTGTTTCGGACAACCAGATCCTGTCTCCTGATTGTCCGGTGGACAACCAAGAAAAAAAGACCTCGATTAAAGTTCTCTGACGTGGGTGTCCATCATTTGTAAAAATGAAAGGGAAAAAAACTTGGTAAAACCGAACAGAACACTAAACTGTAACTTTTAATAAGGCCATCTACACAGGATACTCCTATTTAAGTGAAAATGTTGACTTATGAGCAGAAAGAAGCTTATGAATGTTGAACTCTATTTGAATGAAGAAAATGAGGAAATTTTATTCATGCAGATCCTGTCAACCTGGCTGACTGAGAACAATTACATAATAAACTTCGTCTGCAGAACAATATACTTGTTAAATTACATTTTTCTTGAGATTCTTTTGGACAACCAAAATGTTTTGCGGACAACCAGGTTTTGTCAACGAAAAATATCCTTATGTCTACCCCTGCACGTGTTTGTTGTTCCAGAAGCGGCCCGGTCGCACATTGATGCCATTAGTTGGTTATCATTACTTAGCTGCAGGACTGCCTTTTTTCTTTTCTTTTTTCACATCATGTTGCCAGCTTGGATCTGTTACTATCTCGCTCGGAGGCACGAACGAGTTTTAGAGGTAAGCTCACTTCAACTGCTTTTTACGATGTGGTTTCATTTCCGGACTCAGGGATTTTGTGAATGAGGCCGATATTTCAGTTAAAATACATCAGCAAAAATATTTATCCGAGTATAGTACTAGCCCCCAACTTTGTGCATGATTTTATGGATTAAATTTTACGTATTATACTCAAATAAATACGGTCACTCAACAGATTAAGACTTCTCTGAAGGGACAGTCTCACACACTGGCCTTTTCAGCATATTATCTCAATTATGTTTTGAATGTGTTAGAGAGAGAAAAAGAAACAGAATAATGAGCACAGACTTCCAATCTAATAGGGTTTGGCTAATTTCAGATAATTACAAAAATAAACTACAAATATGAAACCAAACATAGCTGTGCAGACATTGAAACACTTCCAAGGTGGTGCAAAAAGCGGTGCATCACCATATTCTAACATTTTCACATTATATATTGCAGTTCAAAATGAGTGCTCAGCTATTTTTCTATTTTAGCATTCAATGTTGCCTGTTACCCACGTTTAATGAAAATTATTTTATCATTTTATTATATTTTACAGAGCTTTCGAGATGTTTTTAACAATACAAAATTTATTTTTCCCTTCCTTTCTTTTATTAAAAAAAAGTTTACCTGAATATAGGTGTATGGCCAGGCTTGGGTTTATTCCATGAGAAGTGTGAGGGCACTGATAGGAACTGTTCTGCAGGCCCATCCTTTTTCAAGCTGTGTAGGTTCTCATCTGAAGGAGAGTCCAGATTAGAAGACATATTATCTTGGTCATCTAGCCCCAGCTCTCCTTTCCCAGTCTGTATAGATGTTCTGTCCTGTGAGGTCTTTCTTGTCTTTAGTGGGATGTCTGTCTCAGATGGGCAGCACTGAAAGGGTGACATGCCTACAGAGGGACTTCCAGCCCAAGTGTCCTCTGTCACACTACCCCTGGGGGAAGGTCCTGGCGTGGGAGTGGGCGAATGATGAGGAGACAATGAACTTGGATAGCAAATGTCAGCACTGGAGTGGCGCCTTTTCCCACAAGGTGAAGTGGGACGTGAAGAAGGCCTGGAAGATGGTCGCGGGCTGAGCCAGTTTTCATCAGTGACACTGTTGCGTGGCGAATGGCAGGGCGACTGTCGAGGGGAAAGAGTGGAGTGAGAGTGGTGCACGAAGGGGGGGTGATGTTGATGCCAGAAAGACTGCTCCTCTAGAACTCCACCACCGGCTTGAGGGGAGGCACAGCCTGGAGAGGTCAGAGGGGAGCCCAAAGAAACCCTGGCAGCTGCTTCATTCAGCTCTGAGTCAACATCATCATAGACATGTGAAAATGATTCACAAGAGGAGGCATCGGAAAACCAGCTCCGTGAGGACAGGCTGCTGCCTGGACTGGGGCTGAGTGAAGAGTCTCGATATGAGTGATCTAGTGGCAAATACAGGTGGTCTCTAGACAAGGTCCTCTCTCTGTTGTAATCCCCATCAGGACCATTGGACCTCATCTCCCCTTCATTGCTATCCATTTCCTGCTGGCAACTAGGGGAAATGGAGGTAATCTGGATACTGGGGCACTCGAAAGCCTTTGGTGCTTCCACAGGAGCACTGGACAGCAAGGGGGAGGTGGCATACTTGGAGTCTTGTGCCTCATAGCTTAACGGCTCAGATCCTGGTTTATGTGATGGAAGGCGTGATGAAGTGTTGATGACTTGGGATTGGGAGTGCATGCCATGTCGAGACAGACCAATAGACTGGTGGTTGGTGATCATAGACTGAGGCTGGCCCACATTTAGGATATAGAACGATGTGTTGTCATCTGGATCCAGATCTAGGATGGATAAAGGAAAAAAAGGATTATCACTATACCAGACTTTACCAGGTCTTTTATCATTCCCATCAATGTAACAAAACTGCAATTGGAAAAAGATAAAAAAAACATAACTGAATTTCAGTCTCATGTTTTAGACTTGCATTGACACTTTTGTTTGAGCCCTAAAAAACATTAAAAATGGCATAGTATTTTTAACATTAAATTAAGATTTGGTCCCTACTTCCTCTTGGTCTAATCTATTGCATTTCAAAACAATGATTAGACAAGAATATTTATTTTGTTCACATACTGACTGCACTGGAATACTTTAGTCTTGCCACAGCTGTACTTTCAGACAACATTGCACAATATAAGCACTTGTAAACTTGTTGGCTGCTACGATTAATTGATTAATCGACAACTAATCGATTATTAAAATAATTGATGACTAATTTAAGAATCAATTAATCGTTTTCTTTTTTTTCTTGTTCTTTACTTTGTTTTTCTCTCCAAACTGCTTTGACACCTTCCACTGCCACATCTGCCTTTCTGTCCTTGACACACATGCACAGTAGTGGTAACTGAGGTAGGCCGTGGACGTCACAAGTAGGGCCGCACCCATTAGTTGAAATAAACGATGACGTCGATTATGTAAATTTGTCGACGCAGATTTTTTATTATCGATTCGCTGTATTACATAACCACCAGGTGAATGTTCATGCAATTCCATTTCAGTACCTAAATGCATCATTGCGACCGTATTGGCATAAGAGTGGTGAGTTTTTCATGCTTGTCCTGAACGCAGCATCAAGCAAGAGCGTAATGACGTCAGCAGCTGCTGCTACAGTTCAGTCTGAAGCTTGAAAACAAGCCTCGCAGCTCCTGGAGTAAAATTTACCGAACAGACCGCCTCTGAATTATCTGGTGGATTAATTATCTTGTGAACACGACGTTCGCTTGCTCAAAGTAAATAAAGTAGCACCACTTTCGTTATTTCATCCACCATTAAACAGAGACCGGTGTTAGGTCGAGCCACGTTCCCCCATCAGACGGTTCCCCCAGCGTCTCAAACAACAGAGGAGCTTCCCGACACACGTCTGACCTAAAGAGCACAAGCAGCCAACAAGTGTTGGACGTGTTCTGGATGTTCAAAACGTAGCTTAAATACCTTTTATTTATTTTAACTGCATCCTCTTTTGTTTATTTGATTTAAACTTATTTGCCTTCCATGGACCTCCATAACACATCTTTCTAGCGGGGAAATGACATCAATAGAAATATGTGGAGCTGGATTTTAATTTGTGCAATAAGACAAAACAGTCTTGTTTTCAACAGTTTTCACCTTAAAGAAATTAGTTACACAACTGATGTTACAATACAAAGAGTTGGATGTTGTCTTGATATTTGTTAATTTTTATATATTGAGAAATATGTTAAATAAAAAATAATTAATAAATGTTTACTATAGTTTTTCCAGAGTGACTTGAATTTTGCATGATTTAGTTCATTTGTTAGATTGTTAACATCTTGCACTATATTTCTTTTACTTGAATTTTATATGCTTTGGTTGAGATTTTATATTGATGTTAAATCTTTTAAGCTTTTTTTGTTAAAGAATTGACTCTAGAGTGCATATTTTGTGTCCATGAAAAAACTATTAAAGAAAATATTACAATATTAAAGAACTGTTCTTGTTAATTTGATGAAAACATTTTAAATTTCCAGTGCACTCACATCAGAATAACTTATAGATTTGTTGTTAGAATAATCGATTAATCGAAAAAAATAATCGTTACATTAATTGATTAGAAAATAATCGTTTGGTACAGCACTATAAACTTGTATTGTTTGACAAAAAAATCACAAAAATTATGGGAATAATTGTGTCATAAGTTTGAGTTTTATTCTAGTTTTAGAAAAGTGGATGTCCTAGTGTTGCTGGGTAGCAGGCAGTCAAACCGGCATTGTTCCAAGAGGGATAACCAATGAACAACAGAACGCAGGAAATAAATTCACACAACGTTGCATGCTGCTGGCTGTCATCACAGCTAGCACTAGCAGACTATTTATACCAAAGGTCATCCAGCACAGGCAGCATATACACACATAAACAGACACACACATAAACAGAAAGGAGTCCATTGTGTGTATTGGCACTATTCCGCTAGAGTTTATTGATATACTTTCACTGGATATGCTCAGCTGCTCCCACTAGAAATGTGCTTTCTCTAAGTGCTCTAAATATTTCCCAGGACATGGTAATTGAGTTTTACTTTTGCATTAGAAAAGTAGGAAGTGACAATTTTAACAGCTTTTCCAAAAAAGGATCTTCTTTGCCTTCAAGTGAATATTGACATGATAAATGTATGCTTTGTGAATGCAGTATAAAAAAAAACAATGCCCAAACTTAAATTTTGTCATGCATTAAGGTGCATTTTCTACTTTATTGTTCAACAAAAAGACAAAAACTAAATTACTAACCTTCCTAAAAAGTCAGGAAAATGGGTCAATGAGTGCACTAAAAGCATCTGGCTCAACTAAAACCACAGTGTAGCCTGTACAGGATACAGTTGTGAAATCCTTAAACAACACTTGTGCATGCTTCTTAAATACACCCACTTTGTGCATTCATATAAACAGACTTGGGTGTATGAAAGAGGCATAACACACTTCCAACACATCCACATTTTCCCAACATTTTATTACTTTCCTTAAATTACTAAAACATGAACCTGTTATTGGATTTGAGCTAGTTAAGCCTGATTAAATAAATTGATAACAAAATAAGATACAAAATTAGGGAAGAATAGTTGAACCAAATTGGCATTTTTCCCCCTTTTCTCTAAGGAGTTTTTGCTAAACACAAGAGTTTGAAAACATTAGAACACAATCTTATGAAACAGGAAATACTTGACAACTCTATACATTAATTTTTCATAAAAGCATGATATGCCCATAATGAAAAAATGTTTATAAAGGCCACATCACATTTTAATGTTTTAGACAACTTGTGAAAATTTTGTCCAACACTGAAGATTTCTTCATTAAAGATGAAAAAAACCTTCTGGAAGCCTTGGATGTATGCATACTGTAATGCTAGCTATTAGATCAAATCTACGGAGTAATTTAGTCATAATAAAGTTTTCATAAGTCATCAAAAGTTTTGTCTAAAACATTATAGGATTAGACAAGGCCTTTAAGTCATAATCAGCAGGATGTGAAGAGTTTAAAAATGGTGGTATGCAAAGATGCAGCGTCAACTCCTGCTCCAAAGGAAAGTGTGTTACAAAAGATGAGACGACAGCGAACTGCTGAAGACCATACAATGTACTTATATAGTCTATCAGTTACCTCAACCAATGAATGAGAAAAGAAACAGATGGGACACATAAAAAGGTCTCTGCATTTATATTTTTGCCTATTTTATCCACCAAAATAAATAGTAAAGAGAATAAACAAGTGTTAGTGAACAGATGAAGGTAAGACAAGAAGAAAACAAGTTGCCTAGCTCACAGCCCTCATCTTGCACTGAGCTAAGATTAATTTGATACCTAAAACTTAACAGCTTTAAAAAAATAGGGTGCGTGGTGGGAAACCCCCTTGCTACTGCCAAATGTAAGTCACCCTAGAAAAGGTCAGAGAGGACCATGTAGGCCTATAGTTTAACAAAGGCCTTGGTTGTAAACCTCTTTCTCAAAGACCTGTGCGTCACACACTCCTCAAGTGTCCATACATCAGACCGCCAATCTGGTTAAATAAAGATCTCTAAGAGGCTTTGCTGTACCTAAGCTAATAATAGCTCCGCCTCACTGGGAGACATTTCACTGAAGAAAGGATTGGTAGATGTTTGTGGCACACCAAGACCATTGTGTTCTCGTCGTAACAACCGGAAACAGGTCAATCCAATGGTGGTGGGGCTTTTACCATGGATGGCTACTTGACATGAAGCTCAACAGGTCTCTGGCTGACTAGCATACTGTTAAAACATTCTAGTTTGGGGAATAATCTGTAGACATTTTGTCTGTCCATCCTCCTATCCTCACACCACACAAAATATGTGACCAACAACGACCCACGGTCCCACATTTTAAGAAAGCCACTTACTACAAAGACAGAAACGGCTGCAGAGAGGATGATATGTTAACGCTGCACGCTTCTACTGATGGAGCCAAAGTTCAGTTTGTTGACTTCATTTTGTTTTTGTATACACAAGCCCATAAACATGCAGATTGCATGAGAGCGTGTGCCCTGATGTGCATGTTGGTACATTTGCATGGGAGTCATGTGTGTTTTGCTTACGTGTATGTGCAAATGCTCTCAACATATATTACTTTCTTAGGTTACTAACGAGTCCTAACATCATGTGGCACTGGAGCAGGAGGGTAACTTAAGCTAGGGTTCCCTTTGTGGTTGGTAGGCAGGTTGATTAGAAAAGGCTCTGCTTACATCCCATGTACAGATGGCTTTGTGTTTAGGCTGGTCTCCTCTTTCAACTCTTTTCAAGAGCTGCTGATCAACAGAACAGAGTAATATTGTGCCAACGCTCCAAACAGCTTGGCTTACCATACACTTCAAACACCATGGCTTAAATGTAATAATAAACCTCAGATAAACAATCAGGATCCACGTTTTTAAACATCTTTAATATAGAAGTTTTGTAAACAAGTAAAAAAAACATTTAGTTTTTTCATCCTGTACACATCAAAAGGCTATCTGAGGGAACCTGTGGACCACCTGTACATCTGGGAGTGACTCTACAATGTTAAAGATTTTTTAAGGCTTATCTGCAAATTTAACAAAATGCACTTCATTTCAGAGGATGGTGGGGAGGAGCAGCTTTCTGACCTTGACACTGTTCCCAACACATTTTACTATCTGGGTGTTAACAGTGCTTTGAAGGCGGCATGTTTGTGATCGGTCCAGCACTCATGAGAAGTTAGCTGTTGAAGGCAAAACACAAAAAACTTAATGATAACTACATCTGCAGCAGTAGTTTTGCTTGGACGTGCAAGACTTTT